ATATATATATATAATTGTCGTTAATTGAATAACAAAACAAAACAAATCCATCCGTGGAGCTACCAAATGGTGGTGGCTTTTCTTTAGCTTAAAAATTGTGCTTGCACTTAGGCTTCCTTTAGAATGTGTGGGGCAGGTGCAACAACCGTACCACCTTTTGTTGGCTCCACCAGGTGTATTGTTTGTCACACATGAAACTCAAAAATAAAAAAATAATAATAATAATTACAAAACAATGTCTTAAGTAATCAATCATATCAAAATTATTGCATGATAGAAAGAACAGCAATTGAGTCCCATATTTTCAAGGAGTTTTCTATCGTAGAGATGCGGTTCATAATGTTAAGGGCGTATTTCGCAAACCACAAAAGAATGTGATGTAAGATTAAGGAGAATATAAGAGAAAAGAAAGTAATATTAATTAATGATTCTTTTTTAATGTTTATTGATTTTCTGTTGAGCCCTTTTCAGTATTTAACTTATTTACTTGATAGCGGTATGAGAAACAATCCAATTCATTTTCTAGAGTGTAATATACTTAATATATATATATATATATATATAAATGTTGTCACTATTATCCTTTTACTTGTAACATTGAATTTGTTAAGGGTTTAAGCATAAATTTCACATTCATTACCTTTAAATACCAAGAGACAAGATATGTACCATGATTAGTATTCTTTCTTCTCATTTTTTGTACTGTGTGGGATCTAGTATACTTTCATTTATAATCTTATAAGTAAATACATAATTAGATAAAAAACAGTGAATTACTCATAATTCTCTATTTTTCAATCATGCAAAATAAGTACATTTTATATTTTATCGAAGTCACGTTAAAATTTAGAAAAAATATATATATATATATCTAAAATGACAGAACTTAATAAAAATCCCACGGTTCAAATTGTATATTACCATAGTTTACTGATTAGGTATTATTTCATGTCCCGAAAAGGAAAAAAAAAATCACATTCTTAAAAGAGAACTCCGCTTTACTAACACACATTCAAAAATTGCATAACTAGCAAAAAAACCATTTTTCTTTGAAATAATAAGCAATAAATATCAAGATAAACTCCACCATAGCCATAGCCACAGGCATAAACAGGAAAATTTTTTAGGTCTCGTTTACTTCACCGATTTAAGTTTTTAATTTTAAATTTTTACAATAAAAAATTATAAAAAAATGTCACATTTAATTTACACACATTCAAAAATTGCATAACTAGCAAAAAAACCATTTTTCTTTGAAATAATAAGCAATAAATATCAAGATAAACTCCACCATAGTCATAGCCACAGGCATAAACAGGAAATTTTTTAGGTCTCGTTCACTTCACCGATTTGAGTTTTTAATTTTAAATTTTTACAATAAAAAATTATAAAAAAATGTCACATTTAATTTTTTTATTACAATAAAATTTTTTTAAAAAATATCACATTTTAATTTAAATCTATAAAATGAAAGAGGTCTTAAAAAGACAACCTAATTAAAATTTGTACAAAACAAAAAAGTCATCATCCTTTTGAACACTTTATTGACTCCGAGACTCAAACACAAACACACAACGCAACAATCCCGTTTGCCTTTTTACTCGCCACAACGCATTACTACATGATAACGCATCACCATCACCATCACACGCGAATAATGCAACCGTATCCTTTGTTCCCTTGTGTTTGCTTTTACTGTTTTCGCTGTTACCGAGGTGAGTAGATTCCAAATCCTTCTCCATAAAGCATTATCTTCTTTTGTTTTTCTTACCAAAAAAATAAAAAATAATAAAAAATTACGTTGTTTCTCTTCATCTTCTTCTTATTATTCCAAAATTTCCAAATCCTTCTTCTTCTTCTTCTTCTTCTTCTTTTGACGATTATCTCCGTGAGTCCCTCAAGAAACATGTGGATATGGGTCTGCGTCAGATAAACAAAAAGAGTCAGCTTTCTTCTAGAAGATTATCATTATTATTATTATTTTTCATTTATGATTATGCTCTTCTTCACCGGGAAGATAAGTGGTTTACTAATTGTATTCTCGTTTCGCGAGTATTCATCATTCTTGGGTTGTTTTGATGGTTTACGATGAATCTCATTTAAGTAAGAATTCTCATTTCTCAAGGTGTTTTTCTCTTCTGCTAAATATATGTATATGTATAGTACTGTAAAACACTTCTCTTCTCTTCTCTTCTCATTTCTCAGTTTTCCCGGCAAATTTATATATCAAAGTCTCAAGCATCATCAACGTTCACTTTTCAGGTACTACTCAAATTTCTTTCGTACACTTTTTAGAGATTCTTCTGGCAAATTTATATATCAAAGTCTCAAGAATCATCAACGTTCACTTTTCAGGTACCACTCAAATTTCTTTCGTACACTTTTTAGAGATTCTTCTTCTTTCGTCTGCTTGAATTAGTTCACGTTTTTGGTTTTTTTGTGTCATGTTTGAGTGCTTCAAGATTAAGGTAACCAAATAAAAGGTAATTTTACATTTCTTCTTCTTCTTTCGTCTGCTTGAATTAGTTCACGTTTTTGGTTTTTTTTTTGGTCATGTTTGAGTGCTTCAAGATTAAGGTAACCAAATAAAAGGTAATTTTACATCTGGGTTTCTTGTGATTTGAATGTTGGAAGACATTCGAGATTCCAAAAGCTACTTTACTTTTTCCTCTCCTTTTTTTTAATTAGTAGTGGCCCAGTACGGTTTTATTTTTTATTTTTTATAATTAGTCCATGATTACGCAGTAAAAGTATTTCTTATCTAATTACTCCTTTTCTTTATTGTTAAATAATCTGTAGTGCTTTTTAGTTGAGAATTTGCCACTATTTTTTTTTATATATTATTATTATTTTCACTTTGCTTGGCGAGCAAAATTAATCTTTAGATGCAATTAAGGATCATAATGAGTGACTTCAAAGTATGCCGTCCTTTCTTTACAGCAATAATCCACTGCCACTGACAAAATATTGATGTTGTAACTTCACCTAATTTCTCTCTCTTTCTTAGTCATTAATTATTGATTATTGATTTTGCCCTTTAATCAATAGTTTATTAGAAGCTTTAATTAATTGTTTATTCTTATTTTTATAATATTTTTGCTACAAAGGAAGATAATAATTATTGAATGTTTTTCTGCTTGGCTGTTTTCCAGGGCGGTTTAACGAATTGGCAATTATAATGGTGTTATTTATCCTCTAGCCTAGATATTCTCTTGTTTGTATTGATCTGTCTTCACCTACCATTTTGCCCCTGCTCAATGGCTGAAATTCCATTTTTGTCCCTCAACTTCTTGCCAATCTTCATATTACTCTCTTTCATTCTTTTCCCGCCTTATTGCATGACTCTAACGGTCGAGACAGAAGCCCTTCTTCAGTTCAAGAAGCAGCTCAAAGACCCCCTCAACTTTCTCGATTCGTGGCGAGCCTCCGATCAAGAAACGCCTTGTCGGTTTTTCGGAGTCAAGTGCGATCCGGTTTCCGGGAAAGTTACCGAAATCAATCTCGACAGCAAGAACCTTTCCGGTCAGATTTCGCCTTCTGTGTCTGTCCTTGAGAGCTTGACTGTGCTCTCATTGCCCTCAAATCACATTTCAGGAAAACTGCCTTATCAACTGAGCAAATGTACCAATCTTAGGGTGTTGAATTTAAGTGATAATCACATGACTGGACGAATCCCTGATCTTTCCATGCTTAAGAATTTGGAGATTTTTGATCTTTCCATAAACTACTTCTCTGGAGGTTTTCCCAGTTGGGTTGGGAATCTGACGGGCCTGGTCGGGCTGGGACTTGGGGAGAACGAGTACGATGAAGGACAGATTCCGGAGACTATTGGGAATTTGAAGAACTTGATTTGGCTGTATCTTGCGGATTCCCATTTGAGAGGGGAGATCCCCGAATCGATTTTCGAGCTTATGGCGTTGGGAACGTTGGATATTTCGAGGAATACGATCTCCGGGAAGCTCTCCAAGTCGATTTCTAAAATGCAAAGCCTTTTTAAGATTGAGTTTTTCCACAACAACCTGACAGGAGAAATACCTGTAGAGCTCGCGGAACTCACTGGTCTGCGGGAGTTTGATGTTTCTGTAAACAAGTTGTATGGTACATTGCCTCCAGAGATCGGAAACCTGAAGAATCTGACGGTTTTCCAGCTATACGAAAACGATCTCTCCGGATATTTCCCTGCAGGGTTTGGTGATATGCAACATCTTAATGGGTTCTCAATCTATGGAAACCGTTTTTCAGGTGATTTCCCCGCCAATTTCGGCCGGTTCTCTCCATTGGAAAGCATCGACATATCTGAGAATCAGTTTTCAGGTGCTTTTCCGAAGTTTCTATGCGAGAAAAGAAAGCTGAAGTTCTTACTTGCACTGCAAAACAGTTTTTCCGGAGAGTTGGCAGAATCTTATGGTAATTGTAAAACCCTGGAGAGGGTTAGAATCAATAAGAACCGTTTGTCTGGAAAAATCCCAGATGGATTTTGGGAACTTCCTTTCGCGAAAATGATTGATTTGGGTGATAATGATTTCAGTGGAGGGATATCTCCCAATATAGGCTTCTCTACCAGCTTGACTCAGTTGCTGTTGGGCAACAACAGCTTTTTGGGCCATCTTCCGTTGGAGCTTGGAAAGCTTACAAACTTAGAAAGGCTCTACTTGAGTAGCAATAACTTCTCTGGACAAATTCCTGCAGAAATTGGTGCTTTGAAGCAGCTTTCATCTTTGCAGCTTGAGGAAAATTCGTTAACAGGTTCAATACCACCCGAACTCGGTAACTGCGTCAGGATAGCGGACTTGAATCTTGCTTCGAATTCTTTGACCGGTGGTATCCCGCGTACGCTTTCGCAGATGAGCTCTCTGAACTCTCTAAACCTTTCTAGAAATAAACTTACTGGTGTTATTCCACAAGATCTTGAGAAACTGAAACTGAGTTCTGTGGACTTTTCGGAAAACCAGTTCTTCGGAAGAGTTCCCTCGGATCTTTTGACCATGGGCGAGGACAAAGCCTTCCAAGGAAATGAAGGACTCTGCATTGATCAGAACATGAGGGCGCATACGAATTCTGCAATGAGTACTTGTTCTAGCAAACCCGGTCAGAAGAGCCTTCTTCGACGTAAACTAGCTGCGTTCTGCACAATAGCTTCTGCATTGGTTGTTATTCTAGCTGGTTTACTCTTCGTGAGCTATAAGAACTTCAAGCAAGGTGAAACCGACGTGGACAGTAGCTTGGAAGAGGGGAAGGGAACGGAAGCAAAATGGAAGCTCGCGTCTTTCAACCAATTGGAATTTGAGGCAGAGGAGATATGTGATTTGGAAGAAGACAATTTGATTGGAAGAGGCAGCACAGGGAAAGTCTATCGCTTAGATTTGAAGAGAAATGGGAGCACAGTGGCTGTGAAGCAGTTATGGAAAGGAGATGCTGTGAAAGTCTTGGCTGCTGAGATGGAGATTTTGGGAAAGATCAGGCATATAAATATACTGAAGCTTTATGCATGTTTAATGAAAGAAGGATCTAGTTTCCTGGTGTTTGAGTACATGGCCAACGGTAATCTGTTTCAAGCGCTTCACAGCGAGATCAAATGTGGGAATCCCGAATTGGACTGGTGCCGAAGGTATAGAATTGCTTTGGGAGCTGCGAGGGGGATCTCCTACTTACACCATGATTGTTTGCCCGCGATTATACATAGGGATATAAAATCAACCAACATTCTCCTCGATGAAGAGTATGAGCCTAAAGTTGCTGATTTTGGTGTTGCAAAGATTGCTGCTCACAAGGGCTCTGATTTTAGCTCTGTTGCTGGTACTCACGGTTACATTGCTCCTGGTGAGTTTCGAACTATCACTAAACGTGTTCTTTTTTTTTTTTTCTGTCTTTACTAGTTTGCCTCACTGTGTTGAACCTCTCGTCATAAAAGATTTGAATTTATTAAGTTTCTAATTTATTTTGCTTGATCAATTTTTATCTTCTACACAATTATTTGTTCCCCACATTTCTTTATCATGCTTTGGAACAGACAAATGTTTCTTGGCCATCCTACATTCTTACATCGAATGAACATTTAGCTATACGTTCCCATATGTTTACATTTGGAGAAAATTCTTAAAGCAAAGAAGCAGAATACAAAGTAGACTTGTTAGCTTCATAACGGTCTAGTGTAAGGCTTTTCTTTCTGTTGTAAATTGTTTACTCTTACGTAGAGATTAGACATTTTGTATGGTGATGTATATATATGTGAGTTTTATGGGTGTGAAACTACTTGGTATCTGGTCTTTGCTTCAGCAGTAGCCTTCAATACACGGTTATTTTCCAATTATCTACTTGAAATATGACGTTTAATAGAAATAGCATTGTAACTTTGCTTTTCTACTCAGTCCATTTCACGTTTGGTAAACATATTGTGGTTATATGTCTCCTTTTGAATTGTAAAATGACTATCCGGCGTTAATCGAGCTATTTCCTAATGCTGACACAAACTAATTTCCTTTTTCAGAGCTGGCTTACACTCTCAAAGTCACCGAAAAGTGCGATGTTTACAGCTTTGGCGTGGTGCTGCTAGAACTAGTAACTGGTAGAAGACCAATCGAAGACGAGTATGGAGAAGGGAAAGACATTGTTTACTGGGTTTCGACTCATCTCAACAATCTTGAAGACGTCATGAAAGTTCTCGACTGTCGAGTGGCATCTGAAGTTCTCCAAGATGACATGATCAAGGTCCTTAAAATTGCCGTTTCCTGCACCAAAAAACTTCCTACTCTTCGCCCGAGCATGCGAGAGGTAGTCAAGATGCTTGTTGATGCTGAGCCTTGCACTCTCAAGTCTCAGGATAACAATTCGGATCACAGTTCAGATAACAGACATGATAAGATGTTTTTCTAGTTATTTCATTTCTTTCCATTTACTGCAGAAGGTAATATCTCAACATTCACGGAAATCCGAGCAAGTTTTTAATCGAATCAAGTTTCCCTCAGTTTGGTATTCAGAAGGCTTTTAATTCTGCCATCTGATCATGGGAAGTGTCTTGCTTTGTATGATGGTCATGTTGTAGAAAGCTAAATCTTGTAATTTTGACTTGAGGTTTGGCTGTTTTTGTGTATAAGCATTATATTAGATAAGAAAACTGTTTTTTTGGCATTGACTTTTGCTTTATTCCTTTCCCTTTTCAAAAATTAAATCAAAGTAAACGAACAGTTTTGAGAAATGGATGATCAAATAATGCAGTCAGAAAGTTTAACATGTTTGAATTTTTCGTCTGATCAGTTGTCATATACAAGAGAAAAGCTCTCACTTATTTTCTGCTGCGTCTTTGTGGTCAACTATAAAAGTTTACGTTTAAGGTTAAGACTAATTCATAATCCAAAGTAATCAAAGTTCTAGATAGATGTTGACTGATATCATATCCAATTTGACGAATATGTCAAACATTTCCTTGTTGAAAATTCAAATAATTTTTCTCACTCTGATACGTGATCTGGGGTTTTCTTTTGGGTTGGTTGTACGTCAATTTTATATAAACTTACTTTATGTGATAACTTATTCTTTTCGGAAAGATTTAGAACTTTCAATGCTGACTTTGATTTGAATCCTACCTCCAAAACTCGTTTTTTTGCGGAAAGAGGAGCATTATTGTGAGAGGTCCGGGCCACAACCCCACGGGTTTGTATAGTTTGTGGGTTGATTAGTACAATCATAAAAAAGGTAATAAAAAGAAAAAGAGATGTGTGTGAAAATGGCTTTGTTAAATTAGGTTAATGACTTTTTTTTTTTTTCCAATAGTTTGACAGCTAATTGAATTTGTGGTAAAAGTCAATCACTAATTAATCGATACAAATTAGCGTTTAACCTATGTCAATTAATGGTTTGTTGATTAACCAATTATTGAATTAGTAGTTAAAACTGACGAATTCATCAACCATTTTGATAAACCACAAATCAAAGTCGGGTATGAAAAGTTCTTAATTCTGAATTGGAAAATACCGCCAAAGGACAATATTTTCAAGCAAAAATAAATACTAGTATTTACTATTTAGGAATAACAGAATTTGAAGCAAGAGTCCTAAAATGTCCTATAAATGTGTGGAGAATATGGTCTCCACGTGTATGTTTTAGGTGTATTTGGTTTCGAAATTTCTAGGGATTTGGTGAGGATTGTCAAGGATAAAATTTCTTCCGCACATATTTCCTTGTGTATACGACTATATAACTGCTAAAAAAATTGTTTTACAGGTGCAAAATGAAGGACAATGTCTATTCGTGTTCACATTTCATGAATTCCTTTATCACCTGCTCATGTCTAAACCATGTATATTGGCCCCGTTCACTTCGTTGATTTGAGTTTAGAATTCGAGTTGAAATGTGATTTTATGTGAGAGCTTTTTACTGTAGTAAAAAAATTAGATGTGATTGTTTGTGAGAGCTTTTTATTGTAGAAAAACTCGAATTCTAAACTCGAATCAGCGAAGTGAACGGGACCTTACTAGAATCTTCTTGATAATGATCGTGCATCCCACCTCTACAAAAAGGAATGAGTCATTCTTTGGTGAAAAGCAAGATGTTTAGACGTTAAAAGTCGGACTAATCCCATACATTATGGCATTTTAACTAGAAGCTCTTTGGAAATTATCATCCAAATAATTTTTTAAGTAGCTTTTAGTGCCAGGAATTATAAAACGTTAATATAGAAAGCTATGTCAAACAAACCTAAAGAACTTGTTTGCTAAGCGAGAATTTGGTTAAAATAACCAAATGAAAAAGTAAAATTAAGAAAATGACTTTTTTAATTTTAATTTTATTTATTTTTCCTCTTGCCGGTCTCCTTCCGCCGGAATCAATGGTTATTTATTTCTCCTCCCGCCGGTCTCCTTCCGCCGGAATCAATGGCAGCACTCCATTTCTCTCTCTTCTTTTCTTTCTCTCTCTCTCTCTATTTTCTTCAACCTTTTTGGTAGCTTCCAATCCAAAAGCAAAGCACTCCAAACAAAAGAAACCGAGATTAGAGTAGTTGAAGAAGATGGAGAAGAAGGAGAAGGAGAGAGGGTGATCATGAACGCCATGGTTGTGGATTGTGGTTTGTTTTGGTGAGCTTTCTTCTACGCTCGTGGCTTTAAGAAAAAGCAAAAAAAAAAAAAAAAAAACAGAAAAGTCATTTTGTAAATAAAAATTTTTAAATTGTTATTTTATGAATAAAACTTTTCTCTTAAGTTATTTTTACAAAGGCCTCTTGGTAAGCTTGAAATGTGGAAGGAGAATAGAAATGGAGGGATTAGTAAAATAATTTCGTATTGATCTGGCGGTTCTTTGGTAGAAAGGAGATAATGAATGAATTAGATAAGTGATTCAAAATCTAACACAAAAAGAAAAAGAAGAAGATAAATAACTTAATTTTAGAAGGAATGGATTAGATAAGTGATTCTTGAATGAATCATTACTTTTTACTTGTGAAAAAAAAAAAGAGAAATAGAAGTCAAAACTAAAGTCATCTTCTCAAAATTATAACAATACAAGTACATTTGTCTTTGTTCGAAGTACTTGCTGAATTTTATTTCACATTACTTTACATTATTTTCATGTGGATTTAGAAACTCTAAAAACAACATTATACTGACCCTAAGAAGTTTAGAAATCACTACTACAGTTCTAGTTATCATGGAAAACGTGGTAAGAATTTATGTTTAGGATCGTTGTGCTGAAAATAGAATGTTAGCGATTTTAGACTAAATATATGTCAAACGAAAAAATATTCATAAATAAATTCATCATTATGCATACTATCTGATGCCGAGTGACCAACTAGAATGATTTATCACTGTCAAAATTGGAAGATGTTGAATGAAATTGGACATGAAAATAAATTTAACACCATACACAAGCTTAAAGTTAGTTTCCCTTAATAATTTATCAAAATAAGACAAACTTTAAGAATATTAAGGATTCTTCGCTACAAGAAAAAAAGCTTTTTCAACCAAAAAAAAAATTGGTGGCAATTTGAAAAATTGGTGGCAAAAGGTACTTATTACGATCAAATATTTAGTCATAAAAAACATGGTGGCAATTTAATATTATAGGCTGCTAAAATTCTTTTTGCAATTTAAAATTTAGTAGCAAAAGGCTAGTTTTCACAACCAAATTTTTTTGGTCGCAAGAAATTCGGTATTCCTCATGTTTTCTTGTAGTGCTTCCATAAAAAGGAAACTATATCATGCTACTAGATTCAACGTGGAAAGGGGTTCAAATTATAGCATGATTGAGGGATTCCCTATGTTAATGTGGGAAAGGAAGGTTCTTTATTTTTATCCTTCAACAAACTTAGATGTTTTTGTGCGTGTTTAGAACTCGTTTTAAAATGATTTTATTTTTTGTATGAAAATGAAAATGAAAACATTTTCAATTTTAGGCAAAAATCATTTTTGAAAATGCGTTTGGTAGTTTTATCAAGAGATTATTTTCAGTATAAAAAACTCATTAATGTCTCTCACTCTCTCTCTTTCTGCTCGAGAGAGGAGAAAACAAAAACAAAAAATGAAAAACGACTAAAAGTCATTTTTCATTTCTCTCTCATTTTACACTAAATCAAAAAATCGTTTTCATTTCCGTTTTTTGTCTTTATTTCGCCAAATACTATTTTGAAAACGTTTTCATTTTTTCTTTCTCAAAAAACGTGAAAAATATAAACAGGATTAATTTCAAACACGGCCTTTGTTTTCTTCTTTTCATTCTCTTTGTTTTTTCAATAAATTTATGTGCAGTGAGCAGTTGCCACTTTTAGCACTCAAAATCTTCTGCAACAGCAAACGTTTCAAGGAAAAGCCTGCTGAAGATTGTTATATGTGAAGGAAAGAAATTGTGTGAAATTAACCTGAGAAATGAAGACTATATACTGATTGATATTTTCAAAATTAACATAAAAAAGAAACGAATATACACACATAATAAAAACGCATATCATATGAGGTTGTCCATAAACCAGAAGTCAAAGTAAACTTTTGGAGGAAAATTGACGACTTATATTGTGTATGAATTGTAAGACAAATGCTCGCCGCAACATTTATGAAAGTAACTGTTCTTTTTAAAGGAACCGTTGTTTTAGGCGTTGGATTAATTTAATCTAATGAGTGACAGTGTTTATATTAAAATTTTATAATACACAACACAGAATTATTTTTAATTATAGATCAGAATGTCGAAAATTAATTCAACAACTAAAAAGAACAGTTCCTACTAGTAGTTTAAAAAAAAAAAAATCATGTCAAAAAGTTCACTCATTTTAATTCAGAATCATGCACAAAACATAATGACATAAAGTTGGAGCTGGTTGTTTGTTATTATTGCGACTTCCTTTCACATTATTGGACTTTGTTTTTGTTAGACTTTTCCTGTTTAATAATTAGTTGAATGAAGCACGAATCGATATTAGATGGCTTAGTTTAATAGCACCGGAGGTTTTGAAAAAATTATTTTTAGTTGTGCTGAAAGAATAAATAATTGTTATAAAAAGTAATTGAGTATTTAGTAAATTATAATTATATTAACTGTGTTAGTTTTAAAATTAGTGTAATAATGTTTGATAAATTATGAGGTTGAATTGTTTTGAGTAGTTAAAATGACCAAAATAAATATAAGATAAAACTTAAATATATATATATATAATTATTTTTGGTATTTAGAAATACTTGTTTAACTTAAAAAACATAATGCTTTTAATTATTAATAACAATTATAATTAAATTAATTAGCAACAATTATCAACAAAAATAGATTAATTATTAATAATAATTATTAATAAAAAACCAATTCCTTGATATAAAATGACACGAAAATTAAACAAAATTCAAAGATTAATGAAAAACACCCAAAACAAAAATAAAAACGGATCAAATTGACTAAAAATAACAAACACATAACCAGGTACATATTCTTCCTCATCCCCAACCTTTTTCTTCTTCTTCACCGTTCACTGAAAGTAAATACCAACAAACTAAACCACCATTTCTCTCTCTCAACTCCTCTTCCACTTTCTTTGAACTCTAAACTGAAAAAACCCAGCTCTTATTCACATTTCACAAAACCCAAAAACCAATCAAATTAAAGAAATTACATTCATTCAGCCGTCGTCGTGAAGCATCCCGGAAAGCTGCTCCCCATTGTGCAAACCCATAACTATCGAGCTTCGCAAGCTTGATCTTCCGCCGTGCGAGCCTCGTTTGAGCCCACAATGCACTCCTCTATTGCAACCCAAGATTTGTTCACGGGTGGGGATGGTCAGCGGGATCTCAGATGGAGATATGCGCGAGCTGTCGATGCTAGTGCGTGAGGCGGTGGCGGAGCAACTGGAGGAGAAGTAGGGCGATTGGGCGTACTCGAAACCCGTGGTGATCCTTGACGTCATCTGGAACTTCGCCTTCGTCGTGGCGGCGGCAACGATGTTGATCCAGCAAATATTTTTGGGAATGGGATTTTTTTCATTCACAGGGGTAATGGGGTAATATTGAAAGTTTCATTAATGTGCCGTAAGGGATTCTTGCACAATCTACGATCAGAAACAATCTTTGGCTGCTTCTGATTTTAATCTTAAATTCTTCAAAAATTGTCCAAGGATCACTTCTTTGAGTTTTTACCAAACACGTTTTAGATGGCTAAATAAGTACTTTTGAGCTCTTAGAATCTACCAAACTGGCCCATTGTGTCAAAGCTTCCTTTCAATCGATTACACGGAGTCATAAGTTAAATTGTACGTTTTTTACAAGGGTAGGAATTCGTATTATTGTTTTCAAAATTATATTAATAAAAGAAATTTTCAGAGTCGTTTTGGATTCTCCATTCCTCCCCTTTGGCGGCCTCTAGTCCTCCCTAGACCCAACGTTGTCCCGTCAGGGGTTGCACATATGTGAGAGAGCCATCACATCTCCCTCAAGACCGCCGTGTGATTCAGTTGTGTGGCTCCCGCATCCGCGCGCCGCTCCAAGCCTTTTTGTGCACCACTCTTAGGGTCCGCCTTAGACAATGTTGCCACCCCAATTTTATTTCCTAAAAACGTCGTGAACAGCCTTCCATTGGCCGTCACTCCATCTGCAAGTCAGCCCAACGGTGCCCAATGTGAACACCATCTACAAAGACAACGCCAACAATGTCATTATTTCTATGCAAAACCACAAATATATTTGTAAATCGGTACTTTGAGACTAACAATCTTGATGTGAGAGGAAAAACCAATGACCAAATCATCATAAATTCATATATTCATTGGATGTAAGTCTTATTGGTTCTTACTATCAACCATATGCTTTTACATGAGATGAAAGTGACAAGCTAATTTTGTATTGCTATAAAAGACAATTGTGACATTATTATTCAATCTGAATCCCATTCTTGATAAAGTTTCACAAATCAATAATCGTATAATTGCTCCTAAAAAGATAGAGATGTACTACTAAAATTATAAAATTACACAACACATTTAACGATGGTTCTTGAAACGTTGTCTAATGCACTAAAAAAGATGTGTTTTGGAAATCCCTGCGCACACTAAACCTTGGCTCCTTAATGATTTATCAAAACCCCCCAAAAAATACGCCATTTGATAAACAAAATGAAAATAACGTCGAAGCCTCACCGAAAACCCACCCTCACCGCCTTGTCCAAGCCATCCAGCCCCTCCCAACGATCTCCTGCAACCTCATTCACACCTTCCACCAATCTTTATCTCCGTCAAGGTAAATATTGTTGACTTTAGTTGTTTTTTAGTCTCAAATTCTTGGACTGAGACGACGTATATTGATGACTAAAGAGAAAATATAAACAAACTAAAAAGGACAAAAAAGAAAAAAAAATCCTATAAACTTAGAGCTTGAAACGGTCACTTGAACTTGGACATGTTCTTTTACCTAACTTAAATCGCAACTCAAATTTTTTGTTACAATATTTTTTCTCATAAAAATTTAAATTTAATTATTTTACAACTTGGACATGTTCTTTTACCTAACTTAAATCGCAACTCAAATTTTTTGCTACAATATTTTTTCTCATAAAAATTTAAATTTAATTGTTTTACTATAGTATTTTTTCTCACATACTAAACTCAAGTTCATAACTCAAGTTTGAGAAAATAGTCTTCTTCCTAGCCTTTAGTTTTGAAAGGTTGTTTTTTTTTCTTCTTCTTCTTTCTAAAACTTTAATTTTTTATCCTAAAATGAAATTAATTTATATTATTTTTGCATAATTTTTTGAATCATTTTTGTTTATTTAAAAAAAAACTGAAAGTGACGTAAAATTTAGGACATTTTCACTGTATTTATATATTAGTACAAATTAACTATATTTTCAATTAGAAAACTATTCCTGACATAAACAGTTCGAGAATGCAAAATTAGGAACGTCAAAATATTCGTATAGAAGTGAAGGAACTTCTACGAGAGTTGAATGAAATTTTAAAAGAGCTGAAGGTTTATTTTTTATGAAGCTGGATTTTATCTCCGTTGTGGAGCTACATGTATGCCAACAGAAAGCATGCATCCCGTTTGCTCTTTGGTTGAACCAATTGTTTAACTGTTTTGTAAATTGTAAGAATTGGTTGATATATCGATATAGGTATTTCTTTAAGATCTATAATTATATTGCCTTTTTTAGTCGAATAAAAGACGGTCCACACTAAAAATAAATAAATAAATATTCATTAAAATATTGATAAGTAAATAATATTTGAACTAATCATAATAATGCATACAAATTTTTTCATATATATGTACATATATTAGAAAAATAAAAAAGTATTGTCCCTACGCAACTGGTGTATTGGTCCACTGCGTGCTTCGTTATTTTTATTCTTTATTACCACCCACCCTTTTTAGCTAAATAGATCACAAGATTCCCTCCCGAACGTGAAGAACAAGCGATTCTTGACCAATCATATAGTTTAACTATTAATCATATCCATGCAGGGGTAAAAAAAAAAAAAAGTTTTTGACACAATTTATAATTTTAAGGAGCTTCTCTAGTGGGACAAAAAAAAAAATACCGATAATTTTTTACCCTCAGTTGTTAGATTTATATAAAAAAATTATCTATTTTATATGCTTTTTCAATCTATTATGATTTTAATAAGATTTAACGGTCATAAATTGACAATACTCATAGGACGTCATACTATAGAAACTCTCGTAATTATAACAATTCACCCTTACAACTTGTTAATGGTCCATTTGACTACTCTTCTAAAAAAATTGCTATATTTAAGGGATTAATAATGCAACAGAATGGAGAAAAATAGAATTTTACCGATCTAATCCGGACAAAAGATGATACTCAAAAGTCTTGGTATGTTCATTTACACAACTCAAGTCATGATTTGAGTTGTGTATGTGAGAGAAAAATATTGTAGTAAAAAATTTAAATTTGAAATTTTACGAGGAAAAACACTGTAGTAATATGACTCGAGTCATGAAATTAACAAAGTCTAAATCTACCTAAATAAATCCCACAAGGGAGAAATCCCGAAACGAGTAGAGAAGAAACTCAATTTTGTATTTAATTCTTAAATATTCAAATCTACCTATTACAATTGATAATATGGCCATTTATAACTTGTGTGCAAAAGGATAACAAAGTACTCACTAAGACCGTCTACATATTAATAACACAATAAGACTAGATTGATAAGCTAGAATAAACAAAAATATAAAATATAAAAACGAAGCTAAATTCTCCTACATCAATTAAAACTTGGATAATTGTAAATTTTATGTTAGAATTTTTTGTGGGACTTGCTTTCTTGTCACTGACTTAGTAAAATCACGCGAAAAAATCGACTACAACGCAACAATTTAGTAAGTTATGGAATAAATTGTCAAAACTATAAATTTTAAGGACAAGTTATCAAAGTTTGAAAATATTTAGGAAAAAAAAGTACAAAACACCAAAAAAAAGTAAAATGGCAATTCTTGTTAGGAAGTGACTTTGCCCTCTGTCTCGTGAGTTTGAATAACAATTCAAATATTTTTGCTATAATTTTTCTCTAAAAAAATTTACAATCAAACTTTTGAAGTTTAAACCGCCATAAAAAATCTCAAATCATATGTCTAATTTTAATAACTAAAATTATGTCTAATCAATTTTATCATGTTACGTTATTTGACAAAATCAAAATGTTATTTAATTAACTTTATCGTGTTTATTCATTAAATATTATGAGGTTGTTTGTTTATCTTCAAAAACTTGAAAAAAGGTCACTTGAGCAAAGAACTTAGGCCAAGTATTTGTTTAGCAAGAACTGCTCGAGTGAAGACTCACGTTTAAACTTGAGAAAAGCAACAATTCTTGAGTGCATCCCCACCCTCTTGATTCAAGTTCAAGTTTAGCCGTAATTGTTAATAAAAATTACTTTTTCTTATTTTAATAATAAATTTCAAAGAAAAATAATTACCTCAAATTCATTTTTAACTATTCACAACTCAAGTTTAGGTGTACCAAACACATACTCAAATTAAATTTTTAATTCAAAAATTAACTCAAATATATACCTCTAAATATAAACTCAACTTATATCTTCTATTTAAATTTAACTTAAAATGTACACTTAAATCACTATAATTTAAAAATATAACTGAAAAAGCCCTGTGAAAAGAAAAGAACAATTTATTAGACACTGTTTCATATCTGAATCCACAATAAAACAACAAAATAAGAGTATTCAAGTACTTTAGAATAAATAAATGACTATTCAAATAGTCATTAGTCCTTACTTAAGACACTGCCTTGAGTTTCCAGTTCTTGACCACACACACGCTCTACTGTACTCGTTAAAACGTTTTCAAAAGGACTTGGTCCTTGGTCCTCAGTCCTCAAAAAACCTCTCTCCCGAACCGCGTTTCCTTTCTCTTTCAAAATCCCTTTCTTCTTCATCAGAACTCCCACCTTAAAATTCCCCCAAAACCTCCTTTATTTTTTCGCACACATCAATCTCTATTCTCTCTCTCTCTCTCTCTCCCTCTCTAAAACCCACAATAATATTTCTTCTTGTACCAACCATGAAATTATTAGAACCCGCAAATCATAAAAATAATAATTCCCATGGCTTCTCTCTCCAATAACCTCAATTCTATTCTTCTTTTTCTTATCTTCACCTTATTTTTCCCAAACATTCCTTCCCTTATTTCTCTCTCAACCGTAGCCATCTCAGAGACCTCAAACCAAACTCTAATTTGCGCTCTCACAATTCCACCCCAAAACGACAACAAAAACCCTTCTCTCAATTGCACAACTTTCCCTCATAACAACCAAACCCAAATCTCCTTTATCCCCGACACCACCTCGTTTTCCGAAATAGTTTCCGGAAACGGTTTTCTCTGCGGTTTGACCAACATCAATAGCCGTACTACTACGCTCAGTTGCTGGAGATTCTCCTCAATCAACGGCTCTGATCTGCAGTCCAAGCGGATCTACAGTGGTCCTTCTCTCAGACAACTCGACTCCGGAAACTCCCACGTTTGCGGAACAGTAAACGACACAAACCGCATCGAATGCTGGCAATGGTATTGGTACAGAGACAAGTACAACTCATCAGCTCATCAAAATTTCTCCAAAATCTCTGTCGGAGAAAATTTCGTCTGTGGGATATCACAAAGAAGCACCGGAATTTCTTGCTTGGGAACCAATAATGCTCTGGTGGGCCATGAGCCCAATGGGAGTTACGTAGAAATCTCTTCTGGGTTTTCCCACGCTTGCGCAATATCGACCAATAAGAGCTTGGTTTGCTGGGGAGAAAGAAAAGATTATGTTGAGAATTACCCACGTGAGAATTACTTCGTGTCTCTGGCTTTGGGGGAGAACCGGAGCTGTGCTTTGAGAGAGAACCAGACTGTGGTTTGCTGGGGCGAAAACGGCTTCGTGTTGCCGGAAGTTTTGAGGGAAATGGAGTTTATCTCCATTGAAGCGAAGAGGAGAGTTTTCTGTGGCGTTTTGAATTCTAACTTTTCTTTGTATTGTTGGGGTGGTGATAGTGGAGTAATGGGGTCGAGTTATGATTATATGGTTTTTGAAACAGTGTTGGCCGGACCGTGTAGAAGCCAATGTCCGGGCCGGGTTTTACCGGGCTCCGGATTGTATTGTGGGAGAGGATTAGTTGTCTGCTCGGATTTTTCAGAAAGAGAATTGACGCCGTCGGAGCCGGCGCCGGTGCCCGAGCCGGCCGCGAAGTCGTCCTCCGGTTGGAGCGGCAAAATGGTGGCTTATATGGTGGTCGGTTGTGTCGGGTCATTTTGTTTGGTGTTGGTTTGTTGTTTCTTTTTGTTTAGGTATTGTAAGGGTAGAGTTATTCGAGTGCACGACTCCGGCCGGTTGGATGAGGCCGGAACCCAAGCCGAACCCGGTTCGAGCCGACGACAAGAGAGTGTTAATAGTCAGGTTTTTTCCAGACTCGGGTCCGGTCCGGTTCTAGAGAAACGGTTGAGCCATTTGATAAGCATGGGAACCAATGGGACCCACCTAGAGGAATTTTCGTTAGAAGCATTACTTGAAGCGACGGAGAATTTCTCCGAAGATCGGAATATTGGATTCGGAAGCTTCGGCTCTGTCTACCACGGGAAGCTCGAGGACGGTCGAGAAGTGGCGATCAAAAGAGCCGAAGCCTCGGCCTCCTCGCCGTTTGCTGGCGGCGGCGGCGGAGGGACCAAAATTCTACGACAAGCGGAGGATAATGACAATGCTTTCGTTAGAGAGCTGGAGTTCTTGTCACGCTTGAACCACAAGAACTTGGTTCGCTTGTTGGGGTTTTACGAGGACAATAAGGAAAGAGTATTGGTTTATGAATACATAACAAACGGGACACTCCACGACCACCTCCACAGGGAGGAAAACTCCCCTCTCGCCACGTGGTACGCTCGGATCAAGGTGGCAGTTGATGCAGCGAGGGGGATCCAATACTTGCATGACTACGCTGTTCCCTCAATCATACACCGCGACATCAAGTCCGCAAACATATTATTGGACGACACGTGGACCGCCAAGGTCTCAGATTTCGGATTATCCCTAATGGGCCCGGAAGATGATGTGTCCCACCTGTCCCTTAAGGCCGCAGGCACAATGGGTTATATCGACCCGGAGTACTTCAGACTCCAAAAGTTGACCGCAAAAAGTGACGTTTACAGCTTTGGAGTTGTGCTACTGGAGTTGCTCTCGGGTTACAAGGCAATTCACAAGAACGAGACCGGGGTGCCTAGAAATGTGGTGGACTATGTGGTGCCTTACATTAGGCAAGATGAGATACACCGAGTTTTGGACAAAAAGGTGCCACCGCCGACGCCGTATGAAATAGAGGCAGTGGCCTATGTCGGGTACTTGGCGGCGGATTGCGTGGCGTTGGAAGGGCGGGACCGGCCGCGCATGGCGGAGGTCGTGAGCAGCTTGGAACGAGCGCTGGCGGCGTGCTTGGCAAGGCCTCAGATGTCTCGGTCATCTACCGAGTCGTCCACATGATAGACGTAGATGGATGGAAAGATTGGCTTTTCCTTACTCGGCGAATCAATACCACATGTCTATAATTCTAATCTGACTTGGTCAATTTTGTATAGCAAATCTGATTCTTTCTTTTCTTTTTTTGATTAGTTTTCAAATTTTCTTTTAACACGTGTATTCAACAATTGTTTATTGGGGGGTTTTTGGCAAAAAGTGTATGATAATTCGTAAATTACCTAACACAGAAGAAGTGTAGATGTGTTTCATTCACATTTTTTGCTTCTCTACGTTGGTCAGTTCAATTTTCCCCCCTCTTTCTTTCTATATCTTGGTTAACCTTAAATAATTTGTTTTATTTTCATATCTGCATTCGGCACCTATTTTCTCATTTATTTATTGGGCATTGTAGTAAAAAAGTTTGTGATAATAACTTATCCAGAGATCCATCCTTAGTTTTTAGGTGAAAGTGTATGGATTTAAATTTAAATTTTTTATTTTTTATTAATATTTTTTTTTAGGTAAATAATTATATTAGTTAAAATATATTAATTAAGAGTACGGAATAAAAATCTAAACTCATATACTTTTAAGAGTAAGTTTAACAAATTTTTCTTTCTTTTCTGGAGATTTTTAAGGTAGGACTTAAAAAAATAAATTATCATTATATTAGTATGTCGAGTCATTAAATATATATAATAATTATCTATTAGTTTTTTTTATTTTGATGAGATTTTAATAAGAAACAACGGTCAAAAATGATAGGAACAAATTGATGTAGAAGGGTTTTTTTTTTTTTTTAAAAATTTAACTTGGTCCAACCAATTCCTTTTCTATTTTCATTTATTTCCCATGAATAGTTTTATTTCTTGTTTCACTTTGGCTAAAAAGAAAAAAATTGTATGCTATCACCTACTCCAGAAAAAAGAGAGGGTAATTATTATTATTATTATTATTTTTTTTTTTTTTGGAATCCACCGATTTTTTTTTTTCTCCTCTAACTTGGCCATTGTTTCTTTAAAGTTTAACTTTGAATTGAATGCCCTTCTTGGCTTCTTCAACCACAATGTCAAATTGGTGGAATTATTTAAACCGGAAAGGGCGACCTTTTATTGACATTAGCTCTCAATGATTAGAACTGTGGGACTAATTAATATAAGATATACAAAACCAGAAGAGTTTCTCTGACTCAAGTGAGGGGGTAAGACTTTGGTTTTATAGGTTTATATTCGAAATTTCTTTTTTCCCGCAAAAAAAAAAAAAAAAAAAAAAAAAGCAGATCCGAAAAAAAAAAAAAAAAAAAAAAAAAAAAAGAAGTCAAACAAGACTTTACTACAGACCCAAAAAAAAGTTTAAGTGAATGTGAATAGTTCTATAAGGCACCAAAGTTATGCAAGAATTATAGCTGCACATTAGCCTAACTATAATTCTACATCTACCTCAAAATTGAAGAGCTCAAATCTCCACTCCAATTCATATGTATACGAGTAAATAAGAATTGGATATAAGTAAGTTGGAACTGTATTAGATTTTTGTTCAACTTTGAGTTGGGACAACGAAATTTTCCTTTACTGCATAAATAAATTACTAAAGAATGTGAAGGAAGTCGCTCTAAAAGTGTCCTCTCTTTTTTTTTTTCCCTCTCTTCTTCTTTATTATTTATGGTATTAAACGTGGATGTCAAATAATGAGACTGCCGCTTTTTGCATTGTTTTCATCAGTTCCTCAGTGGATCAACACAAGAGAAATGATATACAAAGGGCAAGAAAAAATTAAAATAAAATAAAAGATCGCACATTCATTTTGCAAATGGTGTCTGTACTTAAGTTTCATTTTTATTTCTTCTTGACAAGAAATGTTTAAAATTACACACATGAATAGAAATGTCACCGTTGAAAATTTTGAATGCAAAGATTTTTCCCCTATTCTTTTTTGCCACTTTGCATCCAAGCACACTCACTATGGAAGCTGATTTATGTACACAACATGTATGGTAGATCATTCTCTGGGCTAATTAAAACAAAACAAAACAAAACGAAACGAAAAGAGTTTCTATGTTTCCGACCAGCACCGGTGATACATTAGTTTTGCGCTCTTCTCAGATTCAGGAGTATTAGGAAGATGCAGAAAGCCACTGTTGTTTATACTCGTGCAAGTATATTGGAGATTAGACTAGTCTTTATATCTTTTAATCGTCTGTGGCTCTAAGCTGCATGCGATCCTGAAGTTGCTTTCCTTTGCTGAAGAAGATTCTGCAAGGCACTGTCGATTTGTGCAAACACATCCTCCTTGGAAACATTTCCATTGATCTAAACCGCACCAAAAATGTTACCCCCAAAGCAGAATTTAAGAATTTGGAAAATTGCCTATCCTAGAAGCTTACATGCTATCGTTTTTAAAAAAAAAAAAAAAAAAAAAAAAAAAAAGACAATTCCTTCGTGCTATTTGGATTTATGCTATAAAGCTCTTCTCTAGTTTCTCTTTTGAGTAACCATTCTTTGCTTACTATTTTTCAAAAGAACTTGGGAGCTAAGATTTCTAATTCTACTACTTGTTTAGAGTTTTCTACTGCTACCGATGCAAGTTGCTTGTCATTGTTCAAAGTTCAAAGTCTTGGACTGATAACTTTCTGGTAGTCCCTTTAGTTCATATGCTGAAGATGCCTTTGAACCAAAGGAATGAACTCAATGCTTTAGATTCTATATCTTGGAACATTCCTCAATATCTTATTCTAAAGTAGCCTCCGTGTTGGCAACTACCTACTAAGTGTATTACTTATGACGACTGCACATTTGTACACTATATACACCCAGGTACTTAAATTGAAAGAGGGCAAGAGTTACATGACTTGCCTTAATTGTAATGTCCTCATATATGGAAAGTACTGCCTCTACATTTTCATTATGCGTGTTCAATCGCAACTTCACCTGAAATTCAATGGAGTAGACATGAGTCTTTAGTGAAACATGCTTAACCGATCAGATTATTGGAATTAGTTATAAACATAAACTCTACATGGGAAAACCCAACTAGAAAGGACGCCAAAGGGGCCCGTTTGATAGTGTTTTAAAATAGTTTTGTTTTTATTCTTGTTTTCAAAGCATTTGCTAACCAAACGCTGTTTAGAGACCGTTTTTGTTTTCGTGCCTCAAAAGACGCGAAGAAATGTTTTCAAAAACAGTACAAAACAATACCAAATGCACCTAAGATTTCTCAAGTCAAAGTGTGAGAACAAATAAAGCATTGCAGACATACCTTTTCTTCTGTATCATCAAAGCGTTGAGTAAGCCTTGAAGCAATTTCTTCAGTCTCAGGAGGAGAGTACTTTATGTGGTATATCTTCCCTGTAACAGGGTCCAACCTTCGTCCAACAACTCTCTCAACAAGAATCCCTTCAGGTACCTACCAAATGAAGCTTCACATAAATTCTTGGATTTTAAAAGGCACTACTACTTAGGTGTGTAGTAGCCATGCATTGATTCATTAAAGGGGCAAGAAAATGCCGCAATTCTGAAGCATCATTTGTCAACACAATACCACATTCGCAAATGAATTGTAAAATACAAATATTGAAATGTGATAAAGATATAGTTAAAAAAAAAGGAGAAGAAGTTAGCAACTGAGCATTGGAAACCACCTTCGAGTTAAACTAACTGTCTTTTGTTTTTGTTCTTTTTTTTTTTGTTTTTTGTTTTTTTTTCCTTTTTCCACATAAGTAAAACATTTATAAAAAAGATGCTAACAGCAGCAAAAATGAACTCTTACATCTAAAAGAATAAAAATATCTGGTTCAAACCCATATCCCTTGAGAGCAATTGCTTGTGATGAGCTCCTAGGATATCCATCTAAAAGCCAGCCTTTTTCTTGAGAGTCCGGCTTTGACAAGCGCTCCTTCACCATCTACAGGATAGAAACAAGGAAATCACCAACAGCATGATCACATGTTAAATGAACACGTTGTATTACCATAACAACTATCTCATCTGGAACCAATTGTCCTTTCTCCATGCACTCCTTTGCTCTCCTCCCATTCTCACTCCCAGCTGCAATTTCTGCCCTAAGCAAATCTCCAGCAGCAATATGCACCAGGCCATACTGCAAACAGAGCAATATTTGATTCAATATGTTAGTCTCTTGCAAAGTAATTTTGAAATGGGATATTCATAATCTAATCCTGTGACTTTATAATTGGGACAAAAGATCAACTTGTAGTAGAATGCAAAAAATACGGAAACCAAATTCATCAACGTGATACACAAAAATGAACTATGTAAACAAGATAATGTCCACAATCACATATATTGTGAAACATTTGCTTCATTTGCACATCTATCAAGCACAGGGTTGTCGAAAGGTGTTGCAAAATTTCAAGCAAAACCCGAGAGGGTCAGGCATGGAGAAACACCTCGAAACCTCATGCAGATCTCAAGGAAATAGAGAACTTGTAACATCGGCGGGGAAGAAATTCCAATAAAATTCTTTCCAATTTCCACAACTACCATAAAACACGGAATAATTTTTAATATAAGTTAAATCCATCTAAAACACACTAATTTGTTTCTTCACAGTATGCAGAAACCAAAAAAGACCATATGGATGTGTTCTCTTTAGTCTACATCAAATGTTTTCAAATAACCTACGTCCTAGCTAGCCCTTTGTTGTTCTTGTTTAAACTACCCGTTGCCCCCACCCTATCGGTTGATGTGTTTATATAATCAAGAATGCATACTAAGGAGGTCCTTGCTTAATTGGGGTAATTAGGAAAGAAACCCAATCCTAAACTACCCCACAAATTTGGATGTCATAGGAAATTAAGCTCTTTTTGCTAGTTTTGGTTTTCTTTTTGTTTGATTTTTCATTTTTGTTTTTTCTTTCAGTGTTTTGAGGCTTTCTCATCCCCGTTCCTTTGTAATTGATGATTATTTCAATGAAAGGAAGGTTTATTAATTAAAAAAAAAAAAGAAAAAGAAAAAGGAAAAAAGCCCCCCTAACTTTGTTTCCTTCCTCCTTAACAGGAACAAACCACTTTAATTACTCAAATACCTTTATTCAGTTCTTAGAAAACTAATTCTAGATTATCATTCACCTCAAACACAACTATACTAACTAAACCATACTAAATAAATCAGAAGCCAAAAATTGAATGAATCACGAAAGGAAAGAGAAAACATGAGGCGTAAAAGTGTAACATACTTTCTGAGTGATGAGCTCACATTGTGTTCCCTTACCAGAAGCAGGAGCCCCAGATATCATCACTCTCAGCGGCTCCGCCTTAGAACTCCCCAAAACCTGCTCATTAATTAGCAAATCAAATAAAAAACAAATCAATTTTCCTTAAATTTCGCAATTATTAAATCAATTCCAATAAAAGTTCGAAGAAATCTCACCAGGAAATTCGGAGTTCTAGAGGATCGACGCGAGATTAGGTCAACGCCACGAGACGAGAAGAGGAGAATGTTGGGGAATTTGGGATTTGGATTGGGATTATATCGGGAGAGAGACGTACGGGATTGGAGCTTTGGCTGTGCAACAATGGCTGAAACAGATGCTGCTGAGTAAACTGAGTTGACATTGCAAGCAGCCATTGTTGCTCGATTTTCGTGCTCTGGCTTCTCTCTCTCTCCTCTCTCTCCTCTCTCTCCTCTGGCCCAAAGAGAGATGATAAACGTAAAAATAGGGTGTTGGTAATAAGATGTTAATATTCTTCAGGTATTCAAAGTGGTGGCGCAGGCAATTTACAGCGCTGGCAGTTTCGGTCTCCTCTCTTTTATTTATTTATTTATTATTAAGTTTGGTCAAAGTAGTAGTACGGACCGTTTGAATGGCTTAACAAAAGTTATTTTTGACTTATTTAAAAATATCGTTTTTAAATCTGTTTAGATGAATAATTTAAAATGTTTTTAATTTTTTTAAACATTTTTAGAATAAGATATCTCTTTGATGTTTATGAAAAATGTATTTGTGAAAAGCTTTCTTATTTACATTTTTAACTTTTTATTTGTAAACAATAAATGAAATATCTAATTTATATCATTTTATTACATTATTTTTATAACAATAAGTGCTTTTAACTTAAATAGATTCAAAAATTATTCTTAAATATAAAATTATTATTTCACACACTATTCAAACACTAATTAAAAAGTCATACTTAAAAATAAAAGTACAAATTACCCCAAAGAAAAATACTTGTCAAAATACTCTTAAATCTGTCATCTCTCTCTTTTTTTTTTAATATTAATCATAATTCCAATATTATACTCATTATAATTAATGTACAATAATATAATAGAGTACATAGAATGTAACTATTAGAGTAAAAAAATTTTAAGTGGTTTTAATAAAAAGTAGTTTCTAACAAGTGGAAAAGATTAAGACTCCATTTGGTATGAAGGTTTAAATAAATGTGATTCTAGTTTTAATTTTAGAACTAGAGTTATGATTCATGATTTTAGGTCCAAATCATAATTCTGAAACTATAATCAGAATTAGGGGTTTGAACTACGCAAAACCAAGGGAGGGGGTGGTTTTAGAATTATGGGTGATTATGCTTTAAAACATCATATCAGGATTCAAACCTTGAATCAAAACCATTCAAACTAAACACTGATTTTGTTGAGTCAAATCAGAACCACTTTTTACTTTTTATAAATAAACACTAGTTTGAACAAGAACTATGATTGCAGTTCTAAAACTCTCATACCAAACGTTTCCTAAGTAAACTTTGATCTTGATCAACCCAAGATACAATAATTGAATTGCATATATACTTTTTTATCTCTTATTATTGTTAATCCTTAAGTAAATTGGATATTATTATTTTATGGATATGTAGTGACATATGCAATCGTATTTTATCAAAAAAAATGTAAAATAACATTTTGCTACAAAATTGATTTTTGTGCAAAACAGAAAATTTTCCCTTTGTTTTTAAATATATTGTGGACTTTTCGAAGAATATCTTGAATATACTTATGAAAATTGATTGATATTGCAGACATGGACAACAACGGGACTTTAAAAAACAGACATTGTCATAGAAATATCAACAAGACATTTTTATCTATATGCATAGCTAATAAGATTATAAAATTAAGGGATAAAATTAATCTAATACTCTGTGTTATAGTGAAATATGCTTTTAGTATCATGTGTTTTTTATAATATTAAAATGGTACTTTCAGGTTTTAAAAAACGTTTTTTCAATACCTTCAGGTATATTTTTAGGACATAAAATGTATTTTTTGCCATTTTTATTTAATCTGGTAAAAAAAATGTCTTACAAAAATGCATTCTAAACATCTTAATAAAATAAAATCTATCTATTACATACTTAAAAGAGCAAGGTGTTGGCTTTATATATATATATATATATATATATATATTAAAAGAACGTGTAGAATAAAGATTAGATTAAAAGAGAGGGGAAAAAAAAAGAAACTATCCAAATAGTGCGTTTCTAGATTAACGATGAGCTTTAAAACAGTAGATTTCTACAAGAAAAAACTAGCAACCAAAGATGACTAGGAATGGAAAAATAACAACCCAGAAACCCAAAAGCTACAATTATTATGGAAAATCATGTCAAAGAAAAAAAAAAGAAAAATCAAATATCAACAGAAATTGTAATAAATATATACAGACACAATATCGATCTCATGTACGTACCTCTTTTTCTCTCACGAGCGGCTTTGCGTTTGACGTTGTGAAGGACCCCATCAGAGAGATACCCAGCCTCAGGATCATGATCATCATGATCATCACCACCCGAAACGACGTCGTTTTTTCCTTGCCCTCCAGACAATGCAGCGAGATTTCCCATGCTTCGACTCTTCTTCATCGAATCTTCTGCACCCTCCACAATATTCACGCCAAACAGCTTAAAGGAATGCCCATTCCCATTCCCATTCCGATTCCTGGGTGAAACAACATTGTTACGATTGTTGCACGTTCTTGAATTGTGACCTTGTTGCCCACAATGCGAACACTTGCGCTGCGCCTCCTTAACCATGATTAAACCTCAAAGTTTAATTACCATCAAGAAACTAATCTTCTTTTTCTTTTTCCGATTTTTAAGGTTACTCCCTTTGGGCTATTTATGAACTCTTGGTTGTTAATTTCCCTTTATCTCAAGACACGTGAACCCAAAAATTCTCATATCCAAATTTGACTTCTATTTAAGATTTATTTCTTTATTTCTTTATTTTAAGATTTGTTGTGATTGGTGTGTAGATTACCCTTATATGGAAGGACGTTTCTATTTTTGAGGCCAAATTAAAATTCTTAATTCTTTAGAGAATTTAATCCCCTTTGAGTGATTCTTTGGCTTCAAACAAATAGCCGTTGGATTAGATTGATGAGTGGGGTTCGTATTTTGTATCCAATGGTATTGCTTGTGGGGGATCACATGCCTCTTCGGAAACTGTGATAATACAGTGTGTTTGGAATTGTTTTTTCAGTTGTTTTTAAAAACATTTTTACATGTCTTTTAGGCACGAAAATAAAAACAGTTTGTAAATTGTATTTTTTAGTAAATATTTTGAAAATAAAAACGAAAATAAAAAACAATGAAAATAATTTTTGTGAATGAAGTTAGAAAACAATTCCTTTTCCCTTTTCATTTTCTAGTACTTACCAATAATGTTACATTAAATTATTTAATTATTAATTACTAATTATATAATATATTAATTAATAATTAATAAATAGATATAACTATAACTAATAAATAGATATTAATTACTTATTTATTAATTAATATTAAATTATAAATTATAAATTTTATTAATAAAAATGATAAATATTAAATAGTAATTAATTATTTAGTTAAAGATTAATTGCCAAAAAGATTCTATAATATATTAATAATAGAATAATTAATAATAGGTTATTAAATAAATAACTAATAATTAATATATCAATCATATATATATTAATTATAATCTATTAATTAGTAAATAGTTGATAAATAAAAAATAGTAATTACTCAATTAATAATCAATATTAAATTATTTAACAAATTCTAATATACTAATAAATAGTAATTAATAATTGATAATTAGCAATTCATCATTATTTAGAGAATAATTATCAAAAATTGATCATGCAATATACCAAATAATAGATTATTAAATAAATATTAGTAACTAATTATTTAATTATGTAACAAAAAGTTAATTATTTAAATAGTAGATAGAATACAAATATATTATTTATATACTAGTTATTTTTTTCTTAATACATTTTTAATTACTTATAACTAATTATTAATTACTATTTTTTAATTATTTAACATACTAATTTCATTATATGTAGTTTAATTACTAATGTACTCATTAATTATAATATATCCATTATTATTGTATTATTAATATATTAATTTTTATTTTGCTAAGTGATTATCAATTATTAATTACTTAGTATATTAAATTTTTTAATTATTTAACATACTAATTTCATTATATGTAGTTTAATTACTAATGTACTCATTAATTATAATATATCCATTATTATTGTATTATTAATATATTAATTTTTATTTTGCTAAGTGATTATCAATTATTAATTACTTAGTATATTAATTTAACATGATTAATTACATATACTCGAAACAAAATTTTATAAATATAACCAAACACGATTTTACTTTTTTACTATACTCAAAATAATCTCTTAAAAGACTAATCAAACGCAATTTCAGAATCGGTCTCAGAATGATTTTCAAAACAATCTCATTTTCACTTTTGTACTGAAAGTAAAATCATAAAAACATTACAAAATAAGCCCTTTATTTCACCTTTTCTAATCTGAATGGTAGTAGAAGAACCAATCATGTCGTTCATTTCAGCGGTTCGAGTTTTTAATTCCAATTTGTTATGATTAAAGCTCTCGTAAAAAGTCACATATAATTTTTTTATGCTACAGTAAAAAGTTTTCATAGAAAATTGTATCTCAACTCGAATTAGCAGACTGAACAAAGAGTAAGAATAATTTGAATTTGTTTGGTTTTAATTTGTATTGCTTTGTTTTGTTTGGTTTTGGAAGAATGGCTAAAATTTTCTGACGTACATTTTTTTCCCCTAATTTTTAAAGGGGAAATCTATGTAGGGTGAGCCAATTCACCCTCCGGATATGGTTAATTTATTCACACCCTAACATAAAAAATGAACGGCTCAAAATAATTGGTTTCACAGAAACTAAAATGGACACTACGGTCCCGTTCATTTCGCTGATTCGAGTTTAGAATTTGAGTTTTTTTACAGTAAAAAGTTCTCACAAACAATCACATCTAACTTTTTTATTACAATAAAAAGTTTTCACATAAAATCACATCTAAACTCGAATTAAAAACTCGAATCAGCGAACTAAACGGGCCCTACAATACCTCATTTAACTTTTTTTTTTTGAAAAGAAAAAATTATGGAAAAAAACTCAGTTTCTTCTTCGTGGACGGCAGCCACCCATACCGATTTCCTGGCGTCGATTTTTGACACCACTATACCATTAGAAAGATCTTGACGAGTTGAGTTCATTGACGTGCCGTGAGACCTCCATCTTGGCCGTAAACCGCCGCAATCGCCGGCGAAAAGTCTGAAAAATAATTGAATTTTAAATCTACGTAACTTCTTCGTCCAACCTCTGATTGAAGTGATTCCGGTCCCTATGGACTCAGAACAATGAGACGAACAAAACCCATCCAACATCACCCGTCCATTCTTGCCGGAACACCATCACCGGAGCTGCGTAATTCGACCTCCCTCAACATTCTCAGATTTCTGTCCTCCCGGCCGCCATTGATGACGCCACTGATGTCATTGAACTCAGAAGATCATGGGAAATAAAAACCCTCTGTTAATTTTGACGTTTCACCACCAAAAAGTTGAATTTCAAGTTGCCCATTTTCCCGGAAACTTCCAGTCTAATCTACTACTTAAGAGTTCGAATTGGTCAAAATTGACCCTACCATTAGACTCAGGAGGGTCGAATTAGGGGGCGTAGATTTAAGCTTCGCCGTCGAACTCACCTCCATTCACCACCGGTGCCACTCGCCGTCACTGGAGGTGGTGGAATTAACCGGAGATGGCTTGAAGAAGGAAATGATTTTTTCTTCAGTTTTTCTTGTTTGAATTATTTTTGTTGATTTAGCTAAAATTTTGTGTAGAAGAGACTACTAGACTCTCATTGAGATCGAATTTGAGCCTTTTGACTGTACCGTATCAGTAAGAAAAAGTGGTCACCCTACTATAAACATGCCCATTTTAAAATTGTTTTTAGAATTTTTTTTAAATTAGTTTTCAATTAATTGATTAAAAGGGTAATAAGGACATTTTATATCCAAAAATAGTTCTAAAGGTATAAAAAACGTCTTCTAAAATTTGAAGGTATCATTTTAATATTATCAAAAATACATAATACTAAGATCATATTTCATTATAGTACAAGATACTAAAATGATTTTATTCCTAAAATTCATTGTGTAGATAGAAATGTACTACATTGATGAGTTTTGAACGTTTTAAGATCACAACACTTATTATAACATAAAACTGTTATGTGATCACAACATTTATTATAACATAAAACTGTTACGTCTAAGAAGCTACTGATCATGCTCAAATACATACTAAATGATAAGTATATCTATGGATCTACCTAGCCAAGGGTTGAGTCATATCAGCACTGATCAAATCCAATTGACTCATCTCATATGAATCTCTCAATCCATTCTCCTGAGCATTTGCAACTTTTGAAATTTCCAAACACTCCTTTAGGTCTCCCACTACTTGACCCATGGTAGGCCGTTGGGCTGAACTTGGAGAAACACAATTTATGGCAATTTCAACAACTTTCCAGGCTGTGTTCACGCTGAAATTTCCTTGCAACCTTGGATCAACTATACTATTGATACGCCCTTCTTCAAGCATTAAAGTGACCCATTCACCCAGGCAAATATTGTCATGAGTTTTTGACATTGCAGGTTTGCCTGTGATGATTTCCAACAATACCATCCCAAAGCTGTAAACATCACTTTTCTCATTTAACCTATTTGACTTGTAGTACCTGCAACCAAATCATTAAGATAATAACAATAATAAGAATAAAAATTCTCTTCTCAAGAATATCATTTCATAATTATCGATGTAACGTGATCATTTGAAGAATGGTAGAGGAAGTGGCGTAAATGGGTGATTGCAACTGGAATTCCTCTGATCGATTCAATAGGTAATTTGTTTTATATTTCGGCCCTTTCTTCATAAGTTTGAATCACAATTCAACCTTTTTTTTCTAACAAAAATTTAAATTTAAATTCAAATTTTGCAATTCAAACACATGAAAAGAACACCCTCTTCATATTCTGAATTGGGTTAATCCCAATATAGTACCATGTCTTAGATGTATTTTGTTTATAAAGTCATGGGTACCTTGAAGATTAAATACCTA